TTTTGCTGATTTAAATTCAAAAGATTATCCGTTCGTATAGTATCGGTAAAGTATTTGCTTTTCAAAAGTTTATCCGTTGTATCTAATAATACAAAGTCAACAAAAAAGGCAAAGAATAACAAGAAAAAGGAAGCTGCGCACTAATGTTTCTATAGAGTAGGCAAATTTATAGTAGATCTAAGAAAAGAATTTGTAACACTGTGATATTATTTTGTTAAAAATGTTGATAAAACTATTAATGACATTTGTAATTATTTTCGAGAAATACATTAGGATTGTAGCAAATTTTGACTACCACGAATTAGCTTAGGAGCAACAAGCGAAAAATCAAAGCTATAAAATAAGTACCCTATTCAAAAGCAACGAGAAAAAAAAGTATGTTTTTAAGTACTAATCTAGAGAAAAAACTTAAACGATGGCTAAAAGTACAGAATCAGTTATACTGCGCCGCTTTATTCACCAAAAATGATTATAAAGTTCTAAATTAGAAATGATTATAAAGTAATCGCAGGTACTTTTTTTTAGGAAGTTTAAGCTGCTCGCACAAATCTTTCAAAAAAAGAGTATTTTTTTCTCGATCAGCGTCGTTATTAGTTGTAAGATAAAGTACACTGTAAAAAATTTCTGATAAAATTATGGAAAAAGTAACGGCATTCAGGATGCCGGTACTTTCTACAGTAAAATAACATACATGATGTATTGTAATTTTTACAGTAATATTTACTGTAAAATCACTGTAGTTTAAAAATTATTACTATGAAAACTACACTATAAAATTGTACGGTGAAAATGTTTATATTGTAAAATGGGTTTCACGGATGATACATCTAAGGTGCCTGTACCACAGTAATTTGAAGTTTATGAGGCTGTTTTTTCCTAGAAAAAAGTTTTTTTTTAATTCAAAAGTCAGTATTTATTATTTATTTTTTTTACTTTCCATCAATATCGATCTAAGAAAACACCATTTTGTCTGTATTGCTGATTGACATGTAAGTGTTTGAGGAGAGTATTTGAAATTATCCATATTGATTTTATGCAATGTTCCCATTTGTCTCTGTAGATGAAACTAATGGATTCTACCACGGAATATGCAATGAAAAAAAATGTTATTTCATTTTTGGCATAATAATTTTAGTTATTGATTTTTGAGCTTTAATTTGAAACTTGCATTAATGGTAGATGCATAAATGCAATATGTTGAAGCCAAATTAGAAGGAAATGATTGATGCATATGAGATTCTTTGAATAGTTAGTAATATTTTTGTTTGTTTTTGTATTGCTTTGATTCATATAAAATTCAATAATTTAATTATCTTTAAAGCTGTTTCGGAGAAAAAAAGGTGAGGCGATCACTTTAAGCTTTTGTTAATCCTGATGGTAGTTTTTCAAGGCATTTATCAAAAACAACCTATTATATTTTACTTATAATTTTTTTATATGAATTTAATTAAAGTTATTTTAATCCTACTTAAGTAATTATAATTAACAATTAATTAATATATTATAATTAATAAGTAATTAATATATTATAATTAATAATTAATTAACATATTATAATTATAATTAATTAATAATAGATTTTAACTATAATTAATTAACTAGCTATAATTAAAATTATTTCAATTATAAGTATTTAATTTATAAGTATTTAATTGTAATTAATAATTAATATTTTTTATTTATAATTGATATATTTTAATTATAATTAATTAATTATAATTGATATATTTTAATTATAATTAATCAATTATAATTGATATATTTTAATTATAATTAATTAATTATAATTGATATATTTTAATTATAATGAATTAAAAATAAATTTTAATTATAATTAATTAATAATAAATTTTAATTATAATTAATTAGTTAGTTATAATTCAAATTACTTTAAGTATAATTAAAATTTTTTTTTGTTTTTTTTTTTTGAAAAACTGAAATGCTGCCATTTTGCCTGTATAGGTTGAGTAAATTAGCGAGAAATTGTAAAGTAAAATCATTCCAGATTATGAACAAGTATTAATTCTACACAGGCATAAACCATATCGATCGGCCAATAACGGCATTAAAGCAACTTAACTTAAACCTTTATTTTCTTCCACAACCAATGCAATCTTCGTATTTAACA